AAGCGCATATACTCGAACGGTGATCCAGTCACAGCCTTGTAAACCAGGACTAGCGCATCGCATGAACTGCAGCCCCAAGCCAGGGTCTCCACTTGACAGGGAATTGAAGACAGGAAGATATTCAAAAGAGAGAGAGGGGCAAATAGGAAAGTCCATCCCACCTATAATAATTTTTTTTTCTCTCTGTTGATGATCAAGTCTCGAAAAAGGGCGAACAAGGGGACACAATAAACCCCAAAGAGAAAATTAAAAAGGTCGAAAGAAGCAAAAAGAAGACCCGGAAGAAGAGAAAGGAGGAAGAAGAGAGAAGGGGGGAAGAGAGGAAATCGGAGGGGCGGAGAAAGAGAAGGTGGGTAGGTCAATTCCAATCCGAAGGAACCAACTAAGGAGGTGGAATTTGGGTGATTTGGGTGATTTGGAGCAAAAATAAATAAAAATGATATAGCGAAAATAGCGAAATAGAAAATTAACCGATATTCATTGCATATTCTAATATTCACTTTGATTGTATCTCTCTAACATACAACTAAAGTAATATTGGTATTACATATTTTACATTCCTATCATCGCCTTGGGGGGGAATCATGATTGCACTCGAACTAGTTTGTTATATTATTAGCTACAGTCTACAGTCTATACAATGGGTTTTAATTGGACTCGGTTTTCTGAAAACATGATTTTGTTCTTTTTTTTCCCGCCAAGTTCTCAAAAAGCAATTCTGGACATGCGTCACGATTAGTACAATCTTGTGCGCCGTAAGGAGACTTCTTGCTTTTGACTTCAGTGTTGCTTTTTCTTCGGTTAGATAGTAAATTATCCTCCGGGATTTTTTCAGCCACGATCAAAAGAACTGGTATCTCTGGATCAAATTCCTCTTGTGCTCCGTTTATAAGCCCAGTGGAGTACAACCGTGGCATCAGTTCTCCAACTGATGGGTCCACCGAGAAGAAAAATGCACGGAATGAACGGAAGGAGCCCTTCGCGACCTGGAAATGTACTGGATAGTATAAGTTTAGTGTGGAGACTGATAGAGAAAAAAATCCAAAAAAAACAACACGTTTTCTGACCGCAAAAAAAGACCGCTCCTATACACCCATCTGGCGGTACGGAGTAGGGGGGCCAGCAGGACGACATCATCGGACCGCCGATCCCAGCAGGGAACGTCATTTGGTCTTTTCCCAAAGGGTTAGACGGTCACACATGGAACCATTTGGGGAACCACTTGGGGAAAATAGCGATGGTCTTTTTCCGTCCCTGGGGGGCCATTCTTTAATTGTAAGAGGATCAGGACAACTCTTCATGACTTGGTCAGTACTGCTTGAAACAGGAAAACAGAAAACCAGAAAAAACACCTAGTGTCCTGGCAGGCTTTTAGCCGCAGAGGAAAAAAAAAAAAAAAAAAAACCGATAGGGTAAGACGTAATAATCCCGGTTCGCACAGCAGGGAGGCACGATCGACTTGGGCCAAGTGTGCAGATAGACTGATCCAGTTGGTCTGGACCCTCAAGGACCGTGTCGGGACTCGTTCTTATTGTATGTTGCATAGATTTCTCATCTGACGTACTCGGTGACAGCAAGTTGAATGACCAATGTGTGAGTCCAGGGCTCCACGGCTTTTTTTTTTCCTCAAGAGGGGAAGAAAGGGGGGTAATGTTGCTGGGCTAAGACAGACACGAGGGATTATGCTGTCACCGATGACGATGGGTGTTTTGGTGTTTTTCTTTTCATCGTTGCTTTTTTTTTCTCCTGCACTGGCTTCACGGTTCGAGCTCCTTATGAAAGGAGTGGTATAGAGACTAGTTAAATGTTTTGAAGTCGAATACGTCCACATTCGCGAACCGCAGCCATCTTTGTTTATATAGAGGAATGGGGGCATTTGTGCATTTCCTTGCCCCTGGTTTTTGCGCGAAGTGGTTGGCTCTAGTACAATCTCCACTATTGCTCACCAATTAGAATATATGATAGTTGCCATGACATCATGGGATGGGACAGTATTGCAGCTCACACCAGCCGCTGATGTCATTTTAGCGTAGCGGCAAATTACGTCAATTACGTCAATTGCTAATTACTTCAAATTACTGTTTACTAGTCATGTAGTTACTACTTTCAACTTGTGTTCCCTAATAATTTTATTGTGTAAGGTCTCTCTCCATGTGTGCAAAGTTTAGAATATTGTATACTTCCGACTCAAGTGCTGACAGATCCCGTTCTACGTCCTTAAAAGGCTTAAGGCCAATGCAGAGCGACATCATAACCTCACCCATGATGTCAGTATGCATACACCCATAACCCGCTGCCGGGTTACGAAATGAGAATGGCTGTTGCAGTACCAGACCAAATGTAAAGCATGCAAATTTCAAAGAGGTCGTCGCGCTCGGTAATTAATGTGCATCAATCCCTGGTCACACCGGAGAATCAACTGGACTATCAATTCAACTACTTTTGGTTGACGCGGGGTGACTTTTACTCTAAGTTTACCCAGGAACTTGTGAATTGACCGCTATCAAAAATCCGAGCGCATCAAACAACAATCCCTCCGATATCTCCCCATCTGCTCATCTAGCCTCGGACATGCCACCCAAACCAGTCAAGTCCAAAATAGCGCAGACTACGCATGTTTGCTGCTGGCAATACGAGATGGCAGGTAGCCCGTTGCAGTAGTTCGGAATTGAAGTCTTTGTATCCCTGGCAGCCAAGGGCGCCTATATAGGAAGCCATCCGCTTGGCTCTCAGTCTATGCACTCGATTGCCTTCAGCGAATCACATCAACTAGTCCTCGGCAGAGAGCTTCTAAAATTGATCACTTAACCCAGGCTTGTAGAGAAGATGTTTCCGGGTCCGACAACCCGGTTACGGGTTATATTCGGCGTGAAGAACAAAGAGGCTGCATGGCCGATTTCTTGAAAAGGTGATTGGCTAAGTAGCATGCAGCTCCCGACTGCTGGAAATATCAAAGTTATAGTGATACCTATTATACCTTTAATAAAATTATGCATACATCGTCCGAGAAACTCAACAGACAAGAAAACAAAGATGTGCTATACATACCCCAGATCCCAAACACGCTTTTTCTCCACAGCTTCTTCGCGGGCTCCAGGGCTCTTCCAGAATGCTTACGTAATAAACCGTGACCTCGGTCCGTTTTTTTGTTGATCGCAAGCTTCCCAACCAAATCAACATTTCCAGCTCCTCCATCCAGGGCAATATCGTCACCAAAATCCCCCACGAGACCGATGAGAAACAACTCCGGTCAAAAATGGCCTCAACCAAAACATCAAGCGCCCCGCGCTCCGGCTCTTCGGGCCTAACAAAAGCCTACCTCTTCGCCTACAACACCCTCAATCTCCTCGCCTGGGGCACCTGTGTCGTCTACACGGCCTCCCTCCTCCCAGCCCATGTCTCGACCAAAACTCTGCCGAAGGTCTTTGGCCAGACTTTCTCCCCACTACTGCTGGCCACGCAGTCCCTCGCCCTGTTGGAAGTCGTGCACAGCGTGGTAGGCCTCGTGCGCGCGCCGTTCATGACGACTGCCATGCAGGTTTCTAGCCGGCTCCTGTTGGTGTGGGGGATTATGGCGCAGTTTGGTGGGGAGATTGTTGGTGCTGGGCGAGATACCCAGTTGGGTGATTATGCGTATCTGGGGTGTGTTTTTGCTTGGGGAATTACGGAGGTTATCCGTTACGGGTTCTTTGCTATTACCTTGTCTGGGAACTCGGTTCCGAGTTGGTGGACTTGGTTGCGGTAAGTCTTATTTTTTGTCCCCCTCTGCGTGGCTACCATGTGCAATGCGCTGATGAGTTTCGCATTGGCTAGATACAACACTTTCTACATTTTCTACCCCATTGGTATCTCAAGCGAGTGCATGCTTATCTTCCAGGCCCTTGGTCCTGCGGGCGAGCTGAGCCCGCTTTTCCGTTACCTTTTGATTGCGATTCTCGTAATCTATGTGCCTGGTATGTTGTTCTTCTTTTACAGTGTTCATAGTACCGGTTACTGACTACCTACCAGGATCTTATGTCCTGTACACGCACATGATCGCCCAAAGACGCAAGATCATGCGCGGTAAGAAGAGAGCTGATTAGAAAGCTCAGCCACGCGCAGCACAACATCAATTTGAAGAAACTGAGTGGGAGACGAAAAGATGATTTGGATTTATAGCCAGCCTGACGTTCAAAAATAATGCAAGGGTCCATCATATTTAGGACCTGGGGCCCTCTGAGGGTGGGGACTACTTTACGTTCGTGTTCAATAATATTGACTAGAGTCAACTTCTAGCCCAGAGGGGTATAGACGATCCTAATATCAACAATTCAAAAGAACATACCTTTTTGGCTCAAGGGCACTTTATTCTATCTCTACCAGAACGACGTGCTATCCATTTCTTCTACGTTAGAGTTTACCAAGCACTATCAGAACTACCAATAATGAACAAATAATCGAATTGGAGTTTCAAGAAGTTAGACAATCTTAGACTACACGCGGTGTTCATTCTTCGGGATGAAGAGATCGACAAAGGCCATAGTTCAAAGTTTCAACAAGCTCTACCAGGAGCGTCAGTTACGGTGTGTTAGCTCCCTTTATTCGGAGGAGCAGAACGATGTTGAACACCAACATGTGGAGTTTCATGTGGAGTTTCTTCAGACATCAACTGATATAGACCAAGTCCCCGAAAAACTTGTCTATCATGGAGAGCCATGATCCCCCAAAGCATTCCGGATTCCGCTCGCTCATGGATCGTGCATAATTGGAAGGACAGAGGCAGAGTCCCTGAAAGAGGTCTGCCAAGTTGCCTAAACAAGCAATCCGCACTCAATGCGACTCATTATCATCTACTAGTACTACGCAAAGAACAAGGACCTGGTTCCAAGGCTAATGAGGGGAACATCACGGACTATTACACAAAACGCAGAACTTCTTTCACTAAAGACTCGTCGAGACGTAGCATTCTTCAATTCACAAACAAATTTCTTCTCGCCAAAGTATCAATTAACAATTATTACCTAATTCAACTTCTTGGTCCCATCCTGCACTGGGCGGCCTCCACGGCGTATATATACCAGGTAGCCATAGCTGCCGAGAGCGATCATAGCTATAACGACGATGTTACCTTTTTACATGAACCATTAGCTTGATCTTTTCCCGAATCGCCAGGCATAAGAAACTCACTAGCAATGAATGTCCCAACTCCGCCTACAGCTTCAAAACTGCCCTTCACCGTATGCTCTAGCATCTTAGGGATATCGGCAAAGAAGTCGACTAAAGCCAGGAGTAGCTGATACCCCGTATCAAACGTGTTCTTGACCACGGAGAACACCACCTCAAATATGGAGGTGATAAGGTCATTGATGGAAGTGATAATTGATGTCATTGTTGCTTGATTAGTTCTGAAAGCTCTTCGTACGAGAATTGCGAGAGTAGGAGCAGTGTTGTGCAGATGGCTTCGGAGGGAACGAAGAGGTTCGAATTCAGAGGGGCAATTTTAACCTAGGACCAAGTCTTTGTACAAAAGCAAATCCTTGGGTTCAATGACGAAGTATGTATATAGAAAAGTAAGTTTGTGAATAAATTGGTATACAGCAGGATTGGGCGAAATTGTTTATTTAACGTCGTTGTTTTCGCCTCTGTTGCCGGTTTAGTGGTTTTAGTGTCCACTGATGACGTTGAGTTACGCGACTTGAACTCCAAGATTGGATTTGTAAAAGTTGGTTTGTTCAACTAAGATCAGCTGCACCCTCTCCGTTGACGGTGAATAATATCTAGCATCTACTACGATGTAGATGATCTTGGAACATATGACGTAATATGTGGATTCGATCAGATGGACAGTTAGTCAATCCCCAGATTTCCAAGGTTCAAGTCGAAAGTTGCTTTCTGGATTCAATTATCGCTGTGTATCATATTGTGAATTATTTTCGGGTGTAGAATTTGATTACAGAGAGTGATCATTGCAAGTCATACAAGTGTTGAATTACGGAGATAATGGTGATTGTAACACGAACGGGAGCAAGTTTTTATGCACAGTGCGCGCATATTCAGGATATAAAAGTAACAAAGCATTCATTGACGTAAGGTCATCCGCAATATTGTACAAGTGGCGAGCTGTGTCACCAGAGTGCTAGCAAAAATGGTATCTCATTATTCCAAGCCGTTCAATTTCAATGAGATTATTTACTGCTTAGTGGCCTCTGCATATCATTAGCATTGATTCCACGACGTAACCTTGTCTTGTTAATCTTACCCTTGTGGACATCGGCCTTGGTGTTGTGGGATGTCTCGTCCTTCTTGTCGACAACAGCATCCTTTGCGGCGGTAACTCGGCTGCCCAAGCTAGCATCAGAGTCCTTGGCGACATGCTTGTTGGTCTCCTTTGATGCCTGAGCACCACCGCCTTGGATGGTCTCCGAGATGTAGTTGACGGCGTTCTAGGGTCAGATATTAGTACTTTGAAAACCATGTCATCCAACGTATGATGATGCTAACCTTAGCGGTCTCCATAATGTTGTTGTTGGGAAGGTTGCTGGAATGAGTTTGAGAGTTTCAAATGTCTGTTGATTTAAAGACTTGATAATTGTATGATGAATGAAGCGAATGGCAGAAGCAGAAGGGGTCACTTATAGTAAATGGCAGAGCCTTTGGTAGCAGGGTTTGGACTATGACGTCATAAAACAAACAAGAACCCGTGGACGACTACATTCAGCTTAGTGATGTAAGAAAAGGAAGGATCTTCCAAGGTTGTTGTCAGACCTATGACGATAGAAAATCCACTTATTGATTTGTTCTACCTTGTATAATAACACCGTAATTTAGGTTGGGGAATATTGTAGCCCGTTCCTTGGAATTGTGGGGAACAGATAAGTTTACCCTCCTACGTATGATGCATATTAAAAACAGGAACTTTGTTATCTTGTCATGGAAGCAGGCTCTCTACAATGTTCGCAGGATAGGTATCGACCTCACTATGTTATATTTGACTAATACCTGTGTTTGAGAACCTCGGCTATAGCAGTCTAACGGACATAGTGAGAGTTTTAACTCGAGGTATCATCCAACAATGAGAACAAGGTCTCTTGTATAGAGGAGAAAACCAATGATACAAGTCACGGTATTGATCACTCAGTGTGCTACCTGGACATAACTCTCTCATTGGATACTACTATGTGGCCGCATTTCAGGGTGTATGCCAATTTCCCGAGGTCAATCTGTACACTGATTCCATCTTTTCTTTCATTTGTATACCAGAACGCTCAGCCGCTTATACAAACTTGTCATCGGCTTTTAATAATCTTTTTAATAGTCTTTTTTAGATACATATACAGGCGATAAGGAGTATATAGTACATTGGATTAACAATATGAATTATATGGGCTTTTTTATTACTTTGTTTTGGCTGTTATACTACGCTTTTTTCGTGGCTTTAGAATAAAGAATTAACCGGTCCAACACTATAGAACTACTATGTAGTATGTATTTATAAAGTGGTAGGTAAGTTAATACTTTAACTGTATACCTTAAAAAAGTGAGGGTGGATGAAAATTACTGGCTGGCAATATTATTCATTGAAAGAGTTGTGTCCAAACGGTACATTAAATCAGTAACAACGAGCCTGTAGGTCTTTGATTGCCGATAAAGTACTTTATTATAAGCAAGGTGATTGACTTCGTCAACTTTGCTCGAGTCTTTTCTCAGGTCTCCTCTTATGGACAGTGCTGAGATGTCAGGGTTGAAAGCCTCATTGTATTTCTTGATTTGCGTAAAACGAGCTTATCAAGTACCAAGGCTTTAAATCGTCGACAAGTTCCACGTCAACTTCCAATATTCAACATCAAGCACCATTGTAACTAACACTCCAACAGATCATTTTTATTTGCCTTCTTTACTCTTACCATATTTTAACATGCCCCCAGCTGCACGGAGACTGCTCCAAATGAGAGAGACATGGGAAGCACTTGGGATCCTCAACTGACCTGATGACCAAGCCTACGTTTTTGAAATTGCTCTGCGACTCTACGCTCCTATGAACAACAATTTCGTTTTTGACGGATACGTCCCCAGAAGATTCATTGTGACTGTCAAGCCAGAACTTCTAATGGAGCTCCACTATCAAACTCCGCACCTCCGAGGGGCTGTAAGGGACCATGTACCAGATGAAAGTGAGCTAGGTTTACGTTTGTATGATCTTATCCGATTTAAGCGAAAAACCGATCCTGCGTGGTTGCATATTTTACCAGAATGGGGCTTCTTACAGGATACTGCTCGTCGATGGATCTCTATAGAGAGAAATAATGTAGTGGATTCACTGTCAATAGAACTAGACAGGGAGAAATAGACTAGAAGTTCCTGATGCCATCCGCCGTATATTTGGTAGAGGCCAGGAATTAGATAGAAACAAACAGGGGTAGACACAGGTGACCATACACTATCTACTGCTCCAGTTCAATGAACAGAGCGACTAGTTCGATAATATGACCAACCAAGGGCGTGGAGCACGATGCAAGAGGTATAGAGGTGATATTGTTTCTGCTTTAGTTTGTAGAGTTTTTCAAATATATTGTTTTTTGGCGTCTATAGAGAGTTCCAAACATTTCACTTAGTGTCTCGGATCTAAATTTAGCTAGAAAGCAGCCTAGGTACCGTGAGCTAATATAAGTACAGTTGAAGGCAGATAATAGTATAATTTCTACAAGAGGAACAGAAGACTTCACGGTAGATCTCTAGAACAATGGTTTGATGAGTATTACTAACAGCTAAGTCTCGATCATTATTCCGACATCTTAGAGTGTCTAAGCGTGTACGCCAGTTGCCCACAAGTTGGCGAGTCCTATACGCTATAAATTCAACAATTATCAAATCAAATCAAAAAAGCTCATAACATGAATTCATCGCTAACCACTCACAAATAAAAGAATTAATCCACCATCTAGATAAAGCATCGTTAATCCAACCATACCGTAGCCAACAAAACCCGCAAAACAGATTCATTCAAAAATCCCACGGCTTTTCCCTCTAAAAATACCAGAAAAGGCGTAGTCATAATCGTCCATAATATCATAAAATCGTCACCCCAATCAAAATCTTAATCAAATCCGTCCTCCAAAGCCACTCCTACTATCCCCCTCAATCCCAACCCTAACGGGACTACTCCCCCCACTCCAACTCCCGCCTTGCGAACTATCACTCCCAGTCCCACTCCCACTCGCAGAGCCCAACGAAAGCATATCATCCTCACGAGCAGGCTTCCGTCCCGCACCAATCGCAACACGCATACCCTGCACAGCGCCGCCGTACTCATGGCCCGCAGGATACATGCCGTCGTTGACGGAGAAGTTGCGGCAGATCAGGTAGGCTCGCATGGCGGCGCTCTCGCGGGCGAGCGTCTCATTGCTGCAGATACTGTCCGTTCGGTACTCGCGGTTGTTGACCCGCACGGTGCAGGTGTATCCGCTGTTGCTTATGTATGCGTTGTAGATTGGTTCGGGCCAATTGCGCCTGCGGCAGAGGCCTAGGTTTAGATTTGGTTAGTTTGGTTTTTGGGTGGGATTGGTTGGTAATTGGATTGGGGTTAGTGTGCAGAGAGAGGGGTTAAGGCTTGGGTTTGCTTGTCTGTATTGAATGTATGCTTGGGGATAGGATGTTGTCTAGTGACCAGGGTTCGGGGATTGGTTTGTGTTGGCAATGATGCATGCATACATAGCCTGGGAGAGAGTAGGTGATGGAGGTGGTGGGGAGATTGATGACATACTGGTCAGGTAAAGGATATAGTACATCTTGAGATCTGGACTGGACGCAAGCCAGAAGCAAGAAAAACGGGAAGACTGGAGACGAGTGACGGGCGATGGCGCTGCCACTTGTCTAACTGCAACGAATTGCGACGGTTACTCAGAACGCATTGGACGGACTTTGTTTGCAGTGAGATGAATTTAGGGCTGAGGCTGAGCTGCTAGTTGGTGTGCAGTCAGAAGATATGCGGATTGTGATGCCCAACGGCTGGTGGGACCGCGTTTGCTTTACTAGCAGCGGGGAGGATGTGCTGGCGTTCCAAACAAAAGCACGATTATAATACTAGCCAAGGCCAAGGGTGTCTAATTCAAAGAAGAGTGGAATGAGAAAATGCAAGAGTGAAAGCAATAGAGAGAGGGATTGACAACTAAATCAAAATTTTGAAGGAAATATTGGAAAGATGCCACACATATACAGATATACAATTTCCTAGAACCAAGTCCGCCCCCTCCGTACAACAGAGAAAAAAAAAAAGAAAAACAAATTAATGAGGGGAACAGAGCTGTTGCTTGTCATATACTTGATTACTTCTGGAAAACAGGTGGGGCTTTTGCATTGATACCTCTCAAGTCATACCGTGAGCTGGCCAGTGTACACAGTACCAACAGACAAGGGAAACGGTTGCAATTGCGACAGCGCACAAAGAAACCAAAAAAAGGGAGACACTGAATGTCAATGCAGATGACCTGAAAAAGAAAATGGTATTAAACCAAAAAGTCAAACCACGAAGATTCTAATACCCACCGTTGAAAGATTGAAGAAAAAACAAAAGAAAAGACAGGGATATAGTAAACAGTAATAATAGGCAGTAAAAGTACTAGTAGACAATAAATGGAAAATAGTAAACAATCAAACCTAGGAGACTATAGTACATAGATCTAGGATCCGGGTATAGACTACTTCCACCAAGTAAACACAGTACAAGAAGAGAAGATCAGAGAAGATGCTAGATGCACGCAAACGCCATACTCGCATTGGGCCTCGGAAAAGGCCCCAAAAAAAGAGTAACAGTAACTCAAACGGGTGTTCGATGTATTTCGTGCGCCGTTTTCTCGGCGGGTTTACTGATGCGCTGGCATATCTCTTTGCCAGTAGAATCAAACCGAGTCTGAGGCACCGGGAGTCACTGTGAACTGTCTGATTATGCCCCTGCAATTCGCCGATCGAAACATAAAAATTCTCGGAGACTAAGGGAGACCTTGTAATCTGCTTGCAGAAGGGTAATACCTGAAGATTATGGATCCTAGCATTCTGGTGTGAGTTTGAATGGAATAGAGGTGTTATGGTGGTGCTATAATATACTATCCTATACTTCGTACATGGGGGGGATTTTTTTTTTTGCTGACATTGTTTTCTTAGAATGGCCTTTGTATTTCAATTTTGGCCCCCACAAATGTATCAGAGAAAATACAATTAAATTTGCCGCCCTTATGGATTCGCGAGACGCGCCGTTCTGCGAATGGTGATTGGCGCCAAGGAGGGGTCGTTCATGTTGTGCAGAACGCGTCTGAAGAGGGGTCAATTTCTTGTGGAAAGGCTATGAGTCAATGAAATAATCAATATAGAAAGAATCAAAGTAGAGAGAATCAAAGTGGGTAACTGGGAACATCCAATATCGGAGAATGAGCAAATGCATGCGCCCCCGGACTAACCTCAGTTACTTGACAGGCATCGGATGCAGTGATGAGCTGGCATTGCAGTGGGGAAAGGCGTTGGAT